AAATTTGAGTTTCTGGATTAAAGAAAAAGTGATAAAATCAAAATGAGAAATCTAAACTCCAGATGTAAATTCAGGTTTTATTCAGAGAAACCTGACGTCGTTCTCAAAGTTTTTCTTTGAATTCAGAGTTTAATCTCAGAATTCACATCATAATTATTGTGTCCATGTGATCGTCTTCCATAAGAATGACAAACAATAAGTACTTTGCAAAAAAATACACAAAATTATTACCGACTGAAAACCACGATTCACAAAACTTTGTGTATTTTATGTATTTGAATGAATCTTCTTGAAGGTAAAAACAAATCTTTGATTTATCACTGATGTCTGGATGTTAATGACAGAAACTTTGACCTAAACTTTTCATCACTTTAAACGAGTTCTCGACTTGCTGAACATTAACGACGCAGGAAACAAAAAACTGTGAATTAAAGAAGATTGTAAAATCTAAACACTTCAGCAGTGACAGTTTATTATTTCAGCACAAATGATTTATGTCATAATAAAAAACACATCTTTTAAAAAACGATTTCTCTGACGATCATCTTTGTGAGAATATTTCAAACATCTGTATTTAATATATTAAAGTGTGATATTTTTAGGAATCTGTCTGTCGGTGTGTATTGTGCAGTGTCTGTAGAAATGGAAAATGTAGTCAGTGAAGAGCACCCCCGCGAAGTGATGGTCAGTACTGCAGTCTGCTTGACCCTGGAGAAAGACAGAAGTCGTAATTATTGACAAAGTCATTTTAGGAGAAACATCAGAACATCAGTCTGTCGTCTGCGTTTCAAGGAAGATGTGCAGCTTCTTGTTAAATTCTACTTTAGTCAAAGTTTCACAAATACAAAATACTTTTGTTTTTCACAGAACAAACTTCTGTTTGAAGATTTCTGAGCGTTCCCTCTCTCGTGAGGATCCATTAGAACAAGAGGCCGTGAAGCTGATGAGTCAAATAAAAAAGCACGTTAGAGGTTCTTACAGCGACTGTGGAGCGAAAGTGATACGAGCTGTGATAAAGTCGAGCCACGTGAAGAGGCCACTCGTGTTCTCCCTGCAGAAACAAAGAAACACCAGTCACATCGAGATACACGTTTTCATTTCACCATCAAAATCCTGAGTCATTCTCCTTTTGATGGATTCGACTCCAAAAAGACGGTTTAACAAAAAACAAAGCAGCTCTGAGCTCGAGAAACATCTGGAAAAGAAACGTGTGCGTCGTGTGTGTGTCCATACGACATGTTGGTCACTGTGAGATCAGCAGGTCCTGGATCAGTGTGAGAGGCCGTGATTAACGTGTTGTCGTCCCGATGAGAAGGAAACGCTGCCACACATCCATTATTCATCAACGCCCCCCCCCCCCACACTTCCTGCATTATTAACTGTCATGGTAACGAGTCAGTTGAGTGGAACCTCAGTGACAACAACACACACACGAGCAGTTTTCACAAAACATCTGGAGCCTCCTCGTCTTTCCAAGCTGACGTCTTCGTCTTCTCTATGTTCGGCTCCTCTTCTTCATCCTGAGACGTTTGTGTTCTTCAGTTTCACGTCCGTCACGTGTTAGAAACCTCAGAGACACGTCCGCTCGCTCACTGGGGAGTGGACTCACTCTGACATTTCACATTTTACTAGAAGCTGCAGGAGAAGATGCAGAACATCGACTGCTCGTCACGTCTCTTACCTGTGAGTTCGATGGGTATCTGCTTCCTGTGACAGTGTTTACATCCAGCAGAGCGGAACAGGCTGCGGACTCATCGAACGTGCAAAGATAAACCACCAGCAGCTCCGTGGAACTACACACAGACACATTTCATTCACTTTATAGTTTCACATTTAGTCTCTCATTAAAACACTCGATCAGATGTGACAATACAAATCAT